TTATAATAAAAAATTTAAAATATTGATAACATCACTTTTAATGTGAGTGATTTAATATTTACAGAATCTTATCATTGTTTAAAAAATTAAATTCAAAGTTTGTCATTAAAGTATGAAGCTCTCAATACTTGTTCAATGCAATTTTGTAATTAAATATTTATGTATTTTTAAATGGTATTTAGTTTAATTTAAACATCACTAAATTATATATATATATATACATCTAATTTAAATATCCATTAAATGATAATTCTTACTCATTAATTATAATTTTTTTGTATCGTGCTATAACAAAAAATTAACCTATTAATCAAAAATAATATATGTGAAATTTTTAAAAATTTTAGTAGTTTAGAGTCATTTTTTAAAATTCAAAATAAAACCTATATAAGAAAGAGAAAATTGCATAAATACACATTCTTGGGTACACTAATTCAAATTTACCTTCAATAGAAAGATATTTTCATAAATACCTATGTCATTAATTGGTAAATGACTTAGATGACCCTAATCTAAGATATCTTCTCTCTCCCATAAAATAAGAAACTGCTCGGAGTTGACGGCGAGTTTGACGGTAACGCCGCTTTCGCCCGCGGCGGTTTCATGCCTTCTCAATCAACTACGCAAGCGACTGAATCCTCTTCTGCTTTCAAGGTTTCATATCTCTAAATCGAGTTTTGATCAATCGTTTTCTCGTTTTGTGATTATTATTGTGCCGTTTCGATTTTCCGTGCACTATACTTGATTGATGATTCATCCGATTCTTTCGGTTTCCAGTGGTTTCTTGAGAAAATCAGTGGTGATGTATTGAGTTTTGGTATGTTTTGCAGAATCGGGATGCACGTACCTTGCTTCCACTGACATTGAAGCAATTGAATAGTGTTTCAACCAATAGTGAATCAAATTTCTCCATTGATGGCGTTGATATCAACACTGTAACCTCTTTTTCTTCTTCTTCAGCAGTTACTCTTGTTTGTTTGTTTATATATTAAGCTCTCGTGCTGTGTTGTTGCTGTGTTGTCTATTAACGGTTAAGTTTGAAGTTTATTGAGTCAAGTTCAGTCAAGTATAATGTACATATGTAGATTCTCTACTTTGGTGATCTTGAGCTTGGTGTTAGTAGCTTCTTTACTTTGGTGATCTTGGGCTTGGTTTCAAGTACGTTTCTGGTGTAGATTTGATGTCTATTGAACTAAGCATTTGAGCTTTGTGATGTATGTGTTTAGGTTGCAATTCTCAGATGAGGAAACATATTCTAGCCTAGCTACACCGTTATTTAACATCTATGTTCAGGTAACATATACTTTTTTTTAGCTGTGGAGGAATCTCAAGTTTTTTCAGCGTCTTTGTTTACCTGTTCAGGGTAAGTTGATTTGAGAGGATTTTAACATTAGAGTAGAGGCTAATGGAACACACAAGGAAGTAATAAAAGAAGTGAACTATGGTTCTCTTATCTCTGCAATCTCTGTTTGTCCCAGTAAGTAAAATTTCTTCTGTAAAAGTTACCATAAAGTTTCTCTTATGAACTTTAATCTTTTTCATGGTTCTTGTTCTTATTCTCTCAGGTTCTGAATCTGAATGTGGTGGTAAGAAGAATAAACGTCAAGTCTAATTAATCCTATTTTCAGCTACATTTATGTAAGAATTTAGATCAATATTTATCTCATTATTGTTCCTCTGTCCATATTCAGTTGAAGTGACGACTCCTCCAGTGACAAAAAGAACACAAACTAAAAACATATCCTCTCATTCTAGGCATAACAGCCTTGATACTTTGTCTTGCTTTCTTGATTTTCGGCGCGTTCTACTGGAAGAACTGTGTAAGAAATGCAGATTTAGGAAGGAGAGGCAATATCAGTTAAAGTTATGTTGTTGGGTTGTTTGTTAACCAAATACCTTAGAAGATATAAATGATAACAGGTTCCTTCAGCTTTAAGCAACTAAAAGTTGCAACTGAAAATTTTGATCCCTTAAACAAGATTGGAGAAGGTGGATTTGGATCTGGTAACAAAAGTGTTTTTAAGTTCTAGAGATATTAAAGAAGACGTGAGTATCAAGTTAATTCCATTAATTTGACAATCCAGTGAAGATTACCAGATGGAACACTGACAGCAGTGAAGAAGCTATCTTCAAAATCATGACAAGGAAACAAAGAGTTTGTAAACGAGATTGGTATGATCGCTTGCCTACAGCATCCGAATCTTGTAAAGCTTTATGGATGCTGTTGTGAGAATAATCAGTTTCTTTTTGTCTATGAGTACTTGGTGAACAATTGTCTTGCTGATGCTTTATTTGGAAGAAGTGGTCTGAAACTAGAATGGGGAACAAGACACAAAATATGCTTAGGAATAGCGAGAGGGCTTGTGTTAATTAAGAATATGATAACTAATAAGGGTTTATAAATTAACTTATAAAGGATTTTAAACTGATTTATCAGAGTTTATAAGTTAAAAAATATTTAAAATCTTTTATAAAATTACGTAAAATCACTTCTAAAGGTTTACAAATATTTATATGGTTAAATTACTTATACATATTTATAATCGTATATAAGAGTTAATAAAACATCTATAAGAGTTAATAAATAATTCATAATGTTATAAAAATAATTTAAATGTTCTCGATATTGACTCTTAAATTCTGGATACAATGTTATTTCCCTTCTTCTCACTTTTATATAAGTTTCCCCTCATGTAACTCATTTAGCCACATGAGTATTGGCACAAAATCTAGGTCATTCAACGTCAACCTAACCAAACTTAGATTTCTATTACAAGAAATAATTTAGTAAAAAGGAGTAGTTCTGATTATTTAGCCGCAGAACAACATGCCATTTCATGAAAAGAGTAAGACTTTGAGTTGAAAGGACTGCTTTATGAAATCTTATAAACTAATTTATAAAAAAATTATATTTTGATTTACAAGAGTGTATAAATTGATTCATAAGGGTTGATAAATTGATTTATAATACTTTATAAAACATCTACTTTATAATTGGTTGATGCTCTTCTTAGATACACTTTGTCTTCTCTTTTTATTTCTTGTATTTTATTTTTATTCAACATNGACTGCTTTATGAAATCTTATAAACTAATTTATAAAAAAATTATATTTTGATTTACAAGAGTGTATAAATTGATTCATAAGGGTTGATAAATTGATTTATAATACTTTATAAAACATCTACTTTATAATTGGTTGATGCTCTTCTTAGATACACTTTGTCTTCTCTTTTTATTTCTTGTATTTTATTTTTATTCAACATCAACATTTTCCTTAATTTCTTGCACATTTGTATACATACATTCTTGAAATGGACAGACGAATAAAGTTTACACTCACGTTTTTGTCAAGTTTCTACTCTACAATCGCTTGCTTTGTTGTATCACTTTCTCTCTGCTTCTAACGGATTATATAAGAGTTTTATAAGGGTTTACAAACAAAATTATATGGATTTACAAAACTATTTAAAAAATCAAATGCATCAAGAATATATGTGTAATTTATAAATCATTTATAAATGTTTAGAAATCATTTATAAATATTTATAAATCATTTATAAATGTTTATAAATCATTTATAAAGCTTTATAAATCATTTATAAATGTTTATAAATGATTTACAAAGGTTTACAAATCCTTTATAAAAGTTTATTTATCATTTATAAGATTTAGTAAATTGATTATAAAGGTTTATATACCATTTTTAGAATTTTTATAAACCATTTATAAGATTTTATAAATCATTTAAGGGTTAATTAAATCATTTATAAGGGTTGATAAAATAATTTCTATGGATTAAAAATCATATTAAAACATTACTCATAAGTATCCTTTATTTATAAGAGTTTATAAATTAATTTATAAGAGTTTACAAAAAAACATATATGGGTTTAAATCAATTCATAAGAGTTTATAAATCATTTTGTAAGAGTTTATATAATCATTTTAAGAGTTGTAAGTGTTTGTACACAAATATAAGGGCGTACAAAACCATTCGATTACTTAAACAAAAATTTTAAAAGCATCATGGATATATGTTTAATAGTAAGAATTTAAAAATAATTAATAAGGATTTATATATAATTTATAAGGGTTTACAAAACATTTTTGCAAGAGTTAATATATTATATATAAAAGCTTATATATCATTTATAAAGGCTTATAAGAGTCCATGAACTGATTTATGAAATTTTATAAGAGATTATATTTTAATTTACAAGAGTGTATAAATTGATTCATAAGGGTTGATAAATTGATTTATAATACTTTATAAAACATCTACTGGAGTCTATAACTTAATTATAAATTAATTTATAAGGTTTTATAAATCACTTGAATCTAGCTCCAACAGAGTTTGGACTTGTAAAACTCAGTTCTTGTTAGTTTTATAAACTGAAACAAAGAAACATTGTAAACAAAAATCCAAATAAACAAGAATAAATGGTCCAGAGTTCATAAATTTTATAATGATCATAACAAAATTTCAAAAATTTCTATTTAACCAAATATAATTCAATACATAAAAACATGCCATAAGATGTAACCAATCTTAGCACCAAAGAATTGATATGGACTCTTTACTTACTTCATAATTTAGACACTGAAAGCACAATGAGAACATCAAGACAACATGTTTCTTTGCTTGAATTCTAGATACAATGTACTATTTTTCCCTTCTTCTCTTTTTCATATAAGTTTCCCTTCATGTAATCCATTTGCTAACATGAGTATTGGCACAAAATCTAAACCATTCAGTGTCAACTTAACCAAGCTTGATTTCGTTTACAAGAAACAAATTTCAAAATTATAAGCAAATATATTTAGCTTGGAACAGCTTGATCTATTGCAAATATATTAGTCATAGAGAAGTAGGACACTACAGACTCTTATAAGAATCTATTGCTAGTCTTAAATTCGAAGAAAGAGGTTCCTATAAGCAAGTTTTGAATCTTAAAACTGAATCAGAGAGAGATCTGATGGAAAAATACACACACAGAATCACTTAACATAAACATCCATTGGCCTTGCTTTACCATTCCTTCGGATCAAGATACTAGCTTCTTTCTGGCTCTTCTTCAACACTAAAGTCAAAACACAAACTCATCGTGAATATATACATGGAATTTACCATTATTAATAAATCTCAACTCTGAGTGTAATGAGAACACTTACCTGATAATCGACCTTTGATATCCTGGTAGTGAAGATCTGACCATATATATGCAGCTGAAAACATTTATTACATTCACAAACTACGTTAACTATTGTACCGAGAAAACAAAGAGTAGGATTAACAAAAAACAACACTGAATATCAGACAACCTTTCAGGCAAAAGGAACAAGAGCATGACTTAAGCTCATCATCACCATCCATACCGTGGTTTACCATCCCCATATTGTCAACAGCCGAACATCTGCTCATATTAAACGGCTTGATAATCTCAGAACTAGGCAACCTGTCATCACTTACACAATTGCTGCTACTCAACACAGTCATGGTCAAGTCTTCACCAGAAACAGCATCAGTTTGACTCGAAAAGTCAGCAACATTCGAGTCCTTCTCACACACTCTCTGACTAAGTTCCACCACAGAAGTATCTACTGCATTGGTCTCACCCTGAGACTCTTTCACATCGAAATTCTCAGAATCAGCATCAAAACTAAACTTATCACCATCAGAAGAACCATTTTTTGTATCACTACAAGTCCTAGTACTCTCCTTGACCAAGTCGTCAACAACTAAACACAACCTCTTGGAAAACTTAACCCCTGAGCCTTCACGAGCAACGCTTTTACCAGCATCATCCCCAGATTTCAAAAGAAAATCACCTAGAATCGAGGAGATTCCTCTCTTGCTTGGAACATTAGTCATATCACACAAAGGGAGACACATTTCCTTAGACACTAAGCTGCAGCTATCTCCAGTCATCTTCACAAACAAACAAAAACAAACAAACAAAAAGAAAACTTTTCATTTCCAAATTATAAATCTCACAAAACCCAAATCCCAAAACCAAATTGAAACAAAAACCCTAAAATTCACCAAAATCCTAATCGAAAATTTTCAATTCGAAAGCAGAAACTGATAGTAATACTACGAAATGAATCGATTCGCAAACCTTAAAAAATAAACAGAGTTTGGGTTACTGACCAATGGATTAGTGGCATGCAAGTGGTTTGGAGTAAGGAAGCAGGATCGGAGATCCCCGCCGGAGTTTGGCGGAGGCGGAGGAGGAGAGGTTGCAACATAGGTGGAGTAAGTGAAAGTTATTCGAATCGCCATTAAAACGAGTTTGAAGAAGAGCTTGTAGAGGTGAGGGTAAATCGAGGAGTCGTAGAGCAACGAAGGTTGAAAACAATTTGATTAATTAAGGTTACTATAGTCTTTTGACTATCAAAATTTTAAGGGTAAAGATGATTAGTGTAAAAGTGAAATAGTGTATCATGAATGTGATAGTTTTAGAAATTTCCCATAAAAAAAATCTAATTTTTTTCTGTTTTATAGTTGATGTATTTGTCTAATTTCTTTTCATAATATAAATTTAGGCTGCACATGGTGGACTCAAAGATGTTGTGATTGACGACATGGATGCTCTTGATGCAGGTAACAAACTTGCTGCTGTTTGGTGGTCTTTCAATAGGAGAATGATTGACCTGAAACCACTTGATGTTCTCGACAATCTTTCTCTAACACCATTTATATTGATTGTTTATTTGTTACTATTTTCTGAAATCTTTTAATGGTTTTGCAGCTTCTGGAAGCTATTTTGTGGAAGTAGGCAGAAGCCATAACAGAAATATTATGGTAACAAAAGGTATTACAAACTCAAACAACATCAAAGAAGCTAAGTAACCACGGCACTCAATGCACCGGTTTGTTAGTTGGTACGTTGCAATATGGTTTACAGCTTCTGTGAATCATAATTGTTCTGCGTTTTCATGTAGATGACAGAGTAACAGAAGTAATTAAAAATAACTGTCCAAAAGACCTTCTTTGATTGGTTTATGAACCCGTTTCCGATCATTACCAGGCTGAAGCAGCAAACCTATCTGAAGAAGAAGAGTATCTTGGAAAGTTGGTATTTCTGTTTTGAGATTCAGAGCTCTAAATCTCTTCCTTTGACACGGACTAAGATAAACTGAGCTTCACAACTGTGCTCGCAGGTAAGCATATAAAATAAGAACTTACACGTGTAAATCAATGTTTTTTTGCTTAACATGTGTTCGGTTTTAGTTTCACAGGCTTCCAGGATTGCCCCAATCAATAACAAGATATCCAATATTCATAAGACATTTAACCACTAGGAACTTTGGAATAAATTTGAAGTTATGCTTGCTTGCCGTAGGTTGTATGTATATATGATAATACGATATAGGTTTTGCTCGAAATAGAATTTTTTGCAAGTTGCTAAGTAATATGATGGCTTTGGTGGAAATAGGATTCTTGAGTTGCAGGTTAATTATTATTATTCATAGAATTCATTTTCTTTTGGCTGAAGAAATCCAACGTGTTCCATAATTTACAAAATGTAGATGTATATGTTGTGGGATATTAGAGATACGCCTTAAGAAACATGTAACTGATAATTTATGTTACATTAACGTTACTACTTTTGTTTTATACATTTTGTGTGTTTAATAACATTCTAAATTTTTGATTAATAAAAACTAATTAATTTTGGTTATAATCGTCACACAAAAACATATATATTTTTTGTTTTCATAGCTATATATCTATGATGGAAACAAAAACAAGTATGTAACATGTTTCAAATGTTTTTTACAAATCAGTGACTGCAAAAATAATGCACAGTTATGATTTTTTTTTAAATTTTTTAAGGGTTTCAACTTCTAACACCAACACCAGCTCCTACAATCCCAGTTCATTACTATAATAAAAAAATCAAAATCATAACTGACCATGTACACTTATCTCCCAAACGGTCATATTCAGAATCCAAAGACTCCACTTCCCTTAGAAGCTCTCAAACCATTTCTTCTTATCGCGAGGTTACCTTCTCTGGTTTACCATTTCACATTTACTCTTGAGTGTACGGACCAAGCATGTCCGTACACTTCACCCTATTTTTTCACAATCTTAAATGTCTTCAAATGGTAAATGTGAAGTGGTTATGGTCAAGTGATGCGTACAGTCAGCCGTACAGTCTGTACGGACCGTACTGTCCGTACACTCGTCCTATCCGTACACAACAACTTCTTCTCCTCTTCTCACAATTTAGAACCCTTCTTAACCTCATATAAGGCCTCTCAACTCAACACTCTCCCTCAATCTAGACCATGTGGAACAAGTCTACCTTGGAATGCTATGAGATTCTCCTCATCAAAAACCTTACCAAGGAAAATCCTCCTTTTGGCTGAAGAAATCCAATGTGTTGCATAATTTACAAAATGTAGGTGTATATGTGGCGGGATATTAGAGATACACCTTAAGAAACATGTAACTTATAATTTATGTTACATTAACATTAATACTTTTTTTTATACATTTTGTGTTTTAATAATGTAATTGAATAGTTTTTTGTTTAACTAAATAATAACATTCTAAATTTTATTCATAAAAACTAATTAATTTTGGTTAAATAGTCACACAAAAACATATATATTTTTTGTTTTCATAGCTATATATCTATGATGGAAACAAAAAAAAGTATGTAACATGTTTCAAATGTTTTTTACGAATCAGTAACTGCAAAAATAATGCACAGTTATGATTTTTTTTTACATTTTTTAAGGGTTTCAACTTCGACACCAACACCAGCTCCTACAATCCCAGTTCATTACTATAATAAAAAAAATCAAAATCATAACTGACCATGTACACTTATCTCCCAAACGGTCATATTCAGAAGCCAAAGACTCCACTTCGCTTAGAAGCTCTCGAACCATTTTTTCTTATCGCCAAGTTACCTTCTCTGGTGTACCATTTCACATTTACTCTTGAGTGTACGGACCAAGCATGTCCGTACACTTCGCCCTATATTTTCACAATCTTAAATGTCTTCAAATGGTAAATGTGAAGTGGTTATGGTCGAGTGATCCGTATAGTCAGCCGTACAGTCTGTACAGACCGTACTGTTCGTACACTCGTCCTATCCGTACACAACAACTTCTTCTCCTCTTCTCACCATTTAGAACCCTTCTTAACCTCATATAAGGCCTCTCAACTCAACACTCCCCCTCAATCTAGACCATGTGGAACAAGTCTACCTTGGAATGCTATGAGATTCTCCTCATCAAAAACCTTACCAAGGATGATCCTCCTTTTGGCTGAAGAAATCCAACGTGTTGCATAATCTACAAAATGTAGATGTATATGTGGTGGGATATTAGAGATACACCTTAAGAAACATGTAACTGATAATTTATGTTACATTAACATTAATACTTTTTTATACATTTTGTGTTTTAATAATGTAATTGAATAGTTTTTTGTTTAACTAAATAATTACATTCTAAATTTTTATTCATAAAAACTAATTAATTTTTGTTATAATCGTCACACAAAAACATATATATTTTTTGTTTTCATAGCTATATATCTATGATGGAAACAAAAACAAGTATGTAACATGTTTCAAAGGATTTTTAAGAATCAATGACTGCAAAAATAATGCACAGTTATGATTTTTTAAAAGAAAATTTAAGGGTTTTAACTTCAACACCAACACCAGCTCCTGCAATCCCAGTTCATTACTATAATAAAAAAAAAATCAAAATCATAACTGACCATGTAAACTTATCTCCCAAACGGTCATATTCAGAAGCCAAAGACTCTACTTCCCTTAGAAGCTCTCGAACCATTTCTTCTTATCGCCAAGTTACCTTCTCCGGTTTACCATTTCACATTTACCCTTGAGTGTACGGACCAAGCATGTCCGTACACTTCACCCTATTTTTTCACAATCTTAAATGTCTTCAAATGGTAAATGTGAAGTGGTTGTGGTTGAGTGATTGGTACAGTCAGCCGTACAGTCTGTACGGATCGTACTGTCCGTACACTCGCCCTATCCGTACATTATTAAATTGTAGACAAGAAGGTATGAGGATCTGAGTACTTGGGAAGTAGACGTGTCCGTACATACTTGGCTCTCAAGGCTGTCCGTACAAGCGTGGAGATCAAGGAACCAAAGCTTAGCCTAACTTACCTTGGAAGACAAGGGAAGTTCAAACTCGTGCAAGAGGAGAGTCAAAATATCTTGGAGCCGTTGGGGAGCTTTTGTCTCTAGCAAGAAGATTATTTAAAGCAAGATCACATGTTCCATTTAAGGGAGTGGACCGTTTATAAAGTGTCACTATCCCTCGGCCAAGACCCCAATTGTTTATGTATATGCTTCTTGTCTTATTCCATTTGTTTAGTCTTTGTTTAGCTTATAAATATGTATGTAAACACACCAGAAAAGCAAAGGAAAATAATTTCCTCACTTTACTCTCTTTCTCCTTTACGGATTCAACTCTCTCTCTCACTCTCTCACTTGTTCTTCACATTGTTCATCCTTGTTCTACATTTACTTTCATGGTATCAGAGCTTAAAGCTCCTGATTTCCTTAAACACTTCCGCAAAATCACTCTACTCACTTCACTCTTTCATTTGAACCGATTAAAATCTCGTTTCAGCTCAAGAACACTCTTTGGACCATTGGATAATACTCTGGCCGAATCTTGTTCTTGACTTATTCTTGGTTGATTCTCTTCTTTTCTTCTACCTACAAGTGCTATAAGCCTTGGTTCACTTCACTGCTCATGTCTAGACAAGCCTTACTCCATTTATTCTCATTGTTCACTCCATTACCCACTAGAAAATAGCAAGAAGAAGATGGAGAAGATGGATTACCAGCTGCACAAACCTATCATGATTCCGGCTACCTTAAAAGGAGCTAACTACATTACTTTGTCAAGATTGGCCAAGACTGCTCTTGGAGGACGAGGCTTATGGAAGCACATCACCACGAGTGAGGCACCAAAGCAAATCACCCAAGGAGCTGACGGCAAGGAGGTTGTAGAGGTAGATGAAGACAAATGGGAACAAGAGTATCTCATGGTGTTATCTATCTTGCAAAGCTCGCTTGATACTCCTATTATGGAGTCATATTCTCACTGTGAAACCGGAAAGCAACTGTGGGAAACTCTTCAAAAGGTTTATGGAAACACATCAAACCTGACCCGGATCTTTGAGGTGAAAAGGGCCATCAACAACTTTCATCAAGAGGAGATGGACTTTACCAAGCATCTAGGGAAGTACAGCCAGCTTTGGTCAGAGCTTGA